CATTTTTGTTTTTGGTCCAGCTAGCAACATGACCAACATGTAGTCCCTGGGAGCAGTTATTGCATGACAAGGGAGCAGTCATTTATTGAGGACTCCCCTGAAATGTCCCTTTAGACGCCTTCACTGATCAACTGTATTACGATACTCACTCTTCATTGTGACTTGGATCCTAAAGGATCTCATAAATATGCCATGCCAATTACATGCAGCCAATGCAAGTGCTGAGCAGCCAATAACTGTCTTTGCCTATCATGCCTATTCCCCTATCAGATCTTGAATAAGACTGCATAGTTTAATGCTTTCTCTGGGGAATGTCAAGACCACAATGAACACAGTGCCTGAGCTGACAAGAGGCTAACCTGAGATTGTCATAAACAGGTCGGACTGTACCCAGTAACACCTCTAGGTACAATGAGATACTGTTATGAAGTTTCAATATACAGTTTTCATATACAGCGAGAAGAGGTTTACACTATGTCTTCAGCCAACATCATGGGATAGGAAGCACATGGACACCCAGATGGGCATTGTGGCAGTGTTTCAGATTGCAGCACACATGTATTGGGAAAATGTGCCTACAGAGTGTCTAGTTACCAGAATTGCGTAACAGTACATAAAATATCAGTGTTACTAATCAGCGAAGGTCTCATGTGACATGAGTTATTGACAATGTACAGCTAGGTATTCCTGTAGCCAACTACTCAACATCTTCCCGATGCAAGAGAGTTTTAACCTGCTTTAACTGCTTTAACCACAGGGCCATCCACCACCCCTTTAATACACAGGATACAATACATCAAAAACACAGGAGGTGAACCGCATCATGAAACCATGGCGATGACATAAAGGAAATATGGAATTGGTCAAGGTTCTGAAAATCCCAGACAAAAAATGCAGTAAAATATAATGAAAATTTAAGCATCAGGTAGAACAGAAAGTTCATGCCACTACAGTGCTCAATTCAGACCGCAAGAAAACTTTCAGCTAACGAATCTTTTCAATCTACATAATTCTGACAATTACATCCTCTGAGAAGGACAGGATTAATATGTTTCATTGAACCGTGAACATGTTATCATACATAACTTTTGGAGAATAAAAAATATTCCAGAATATTTAATAAACAAAAAAATATTAAACACCGTCCAGTTTCTACGTATATATATATGCACTGAATTCAATATGTTTTAATCCAATCTGTAAAAGAGATGCAATTAAGGTATAAAGTGTTAATTAAAGAAATGAATAATAAAGAATGACTAGGTACAATATTTTTGTAGCACCTTTGTACATCAGGCGGAGCTGTGCGGACAATTGCTCTACAGGGCATAGGTATCCCCCACAGATATGACCAGATGACTCCCATGCTTCATGGCGGCCAGACGGGCAGGTGGGAGGAACAGACGTCAACAACAGCAGAGGTCAACACTCACAGATGTCAACACCGTGGACAATCAAAAACAAAAGTTGCAGATCACATACTGATGGTAGCTGCCATCACAACTAATAATTGCATGTCAAATTTTGATCAGAAGTCACATCGAAGTCTGTCACAGTTGCAGCAGACGACTTGTTGCTGGCTTTCGAAGCATATTGACCTCACAAAGGTCTGTCCCGCACACGTTTCTTAGACATATGTGGAAATCAATACACAGTTGGTGTTAATGCAGAGTCTGCAGACGGCATTCGAGTCTTAAGATTGTCACTCTGCTTTGTCAGATTATTATCCTAAGGTCGATCCATAGAAAGACAAAACATCAGCAGACTGGCACCAGCTTATCCTGTCTAATCACACATTCATTCCATACTGAAAATGATGATCAAAACTTTGTCCAAACAAGCTCAGCTGTCAGCACCAAAACACGTTAATATTCTGTAACCAGTGCAACAAAGGATGACACAGTCACAACAACTCGTCTGTGTTTGCGAGATGAAATCCAAACATAAAACAACAGCCACTGTCACCCTGACCTAACATGTGACACACCTATATCTCCGCGTCGTGGAAGGTATTCTGGAAATAATCTTCCACTGCATGCAAGAAGGCTATCGATCCAGCATCTCCTGTCACCAACAGCATCTTGGATGTTTGTCCAGCACAAAGCTCACAAACTACAGTGAACATCTTGCCATTATGTTCTGAAAGCCTCACTCCATCCGTCAAACGCATGCTTAACTTCATCAACCACATGTCTCAACATCCTCCCTACTTGACCCCACAAATTCTCACTATTCAAGGTCATAGAAGTGACATCGAATCCCTTGACAATACATAGCAAACTGGACACACGATCGCAGCTGATCAAACAAATCTTAGGGGTGATGAAAATAGATGTAAATGTTAATTATGAATTGTTTATTATTTCTTTCAGGCTTCATCCTGCTTTGGTCCACAGTATGACACAGAGCACAATAAATTCCAGTCACAACTTACACAGGACAAAGGGCAGGTTCATGAAATAACTACATCAAAATATAAATCCACAAGAATCCTTCAAACAGAAGAAGTAGGCAAAGTATCCCAAATTCTTAAAATCCAGACAAAGACTGACATAAATTATATTCCACAGAAACCAAAGTATCTCTGAAACAACACATTAACATTGACATCCGCCAATACGCAGTGGACATCCTGCACAATGGTGCTGTGTCCTTCCTTCGTGAAGTAGAAGGAAAAGTGAACCATCCTGTCTGTGGATAATATTTATATTCCGGGTCAGCATGCAATGTGGTGAGGTCAAGTGTCACATGCAGGTTCACAGTGCGGGTGTTGACGGATGTATACACACCTCCTCCAGCTGCACTCACAGACATCCAGATGAGCTGGCACCAGATTGGGTCATAATATCATATAATACCCTTGACTGTCCCTCCACCCTGGTGACCTGATGATACATGATGGTACACAATCACCCCGCCACAGGTCCCGACATTTAATGCAGTTTTGAAGTACACTTGACTGACACTCTTCAACAACTAGATCTGATGAGCCTCTCAATCTGGTGAATATTTTTCACATAATTTTATCCATTCCATATCAACTTCAAGACATAAATAATCAGATATCTGTCAACCGTTATCAAACATTGAAAAAGAATTAACCTGATCTAAGCTGATTTAATCGGAACAAGTCACTTCAATTCTAACAGGACGTTGATGACAAATCTTCCTTATTTATTTAACTTTTATTGAGGTCATATGACCATTAATGTGAAACATACCGTAGTGTCCCAGAAATACGACCATCTTCAAGCATTTATGAGACCACCCCCTATGTTGGCTGGTTGAGTAAAACTGGCCACCTAGCAAAAATGTTGCTTGATGAGTGAGCCATGAGTGAGTGAGTTGGGTTTTACGCCGCTTTTAACAATATTCCAGTTATATCGCAGCGTGTCAGCTTAATGTCGGAGGAAAGCCAGAAGTGATGCAGGTCTCAGACGTTTACCACTTCGGTGAAACCCACAAGCACGGGTATGGTGCTGACAAACCTAGAAACATAATCGGGGCGAACCGGGATTCAAACCCACAATCATAGGTTTCTGGCGTGCCCAGGGGACGCAACTCTGCACAGCGAATCGCGGTGCCTTAGACGACTTGGCCACCCGTGTCCCCCAGTGAGCCATGAACACGACTCACTGGGACCAGCCAAGTTGACCAGTAACAATTAGCCTCTCACTAGTTTGATTAGGGATTTTAGAAGTATGTTGTCAATATGTGAACACAGTATTTGATGTGTATAGGTGATTGGTCTCGCGCTATGTTCTAATGAAAAGGTTTCGGAAACATGACATGACAATGGAAAAGTTTATGTAAAACTAAGAACCGTATTTTGATGTCACTAAATTTGTGAGACAGATTTTCAAAACATTTAACCTGATGTAGGTATGTCTTGCCGTTAAATAACATATTTCCCTGGAACTTTGATATGTCACATTGTGACCCGTTTCTTTCTGCTTTCTAAAGTTTGCAAGGGTTCATCGTATCAAACAAAGGTCAATTTCAACCAATGAATTCATGCCCAATGAGGTAATCATTTGCAAAAAGCATAAATCCAACACCTCAATAAAGGACACGTATGTAAGCAATCTCTAGTCACTAAAAAAATGGTGTTCTAACATTCCGTTCTCATGTGTACGATGATCTTTCCGATGCAAGGGCAACCAGTCGCTATTCAGGTTAAGTCCCTTCTATGGAAAGGCCCAGGAAGATGATGTAGGAAGCTCAATATTGTAACTATTGCACTTGCTTATGTATGTAGGACTGCGGTAAAACAATTCCCAATCAGAAATTTTGTTCCCAACTCTTGAGACCTGCAGTGGGTACCCGGGTAGGGTCGGGTAATAGGGGGGGTCGAATACCCGGGTAGTAAATTTGGACTCGTCCCAGCCCTAATACCAGAGCATATGGTATTATTTTATTAAGGAAAATGCTGCTATGTTCTTTGTCTGTTGACTTAATTTTTTTTTAATATAACTTTGGATACACAAATCAGACAGGCCCCATGGGCCTATACCTGTGACACTACAGCATATTGTTACATCATTCTGTTATCTCAAATCTATATTATTTTTCCGGAATGGAGATGTTTACTGTTTGATTGTTCAGCAGTCAGCAACAGTCCAGCTAGTTCAGGTCAATAAGAATGTAATAATCAGTGACTGAACATGCTGTGTTTTCAGGGCAATCAGGCTGTTATAGCCAGTGACTGAACATGCTGTGTTTTCAGGGCAATCAGGCTGTAATAGCCAGTGACTGAACATGCTGTGTTTTCAGGGCAATCAGGCTGTAATAGCCAGTGACTGAACATGCTGTGTTTTCAGGGCAATCAGGCTGTAATAGCCAGTGACTGAACATGCTGTGTTTTCAGGGCAATCAGGCTGTAATAGCCAGTGACTGAATATGCTATGTCTTCAGGTCAAAGAATGTTACATTCTGCTACATGAGTATGCCATGTTGTCAGAAGTAGTTTCCGCGTGTGTCTGCAGTGAGGATGGACTTACTTCCCTGCAGCCGACTCCTCCTCCGCTCCTTCTGGCCCTCGACACTTCTCTTGCTCTGGAAATAGAAACAGCTTGAGTCAAGATGTAGCCACACAATCACACAAGACAATCAGTGTCATGGTTCACAACATGAAGATTTCACAGCCTCAAGTTACGCTGAATCTGCTAAGCTGTGCTCATGCATTTTCAGTGTGCAGCAATACCTGCTTAATAAGTCAATAATACCTGGGCTAACAGATACATATCATTTCAGAAAGATGAGCACACATACAACTATCAAATTATGCATGTTTATGAAAATCAATATGACAAGCTGGCTCGACTTGTCAACACAAAAATATACAAAGCGTGTGAAAAATGTTTCCTGACTTAATGCACAGGACCATGTAACTAATAATAATAAACAAACTCAAAGACGAGGTCGTCTGCAAGTTTGTTATTATTATTATTACTTACATGGTCCTATGTTAAGTGGTCGATAACATGTACATACCAGTGTTCAAAGTTTAGCATGGAAGTCAAGGAGTCCTTTGCATAATCCTTATGTTAAAGCTAAATATATATAGTCCCTAAGAGACTCAAATACCGTGGAAGGACACTACTTTGAATGTGAACACTATAATACCATGCATTCATAAACAAAAAATTTAAAATTACAAAAGACTGACAATATTGAAGGCAGCAACTTCAAAAAGTTTTAGCTTGAAGTAGTCCGGACAATGCACAGAAGAAGAGAGTATACCCTGTACACAGTTTGACCCCTGTCAGTGAGTCGAGGAGTGGTCGGAACAAACCTGAACAAACTCGGCCTGTATCAATCTATACACCTGGTGACAGTTGGTAGAATCAAGACTGATTCAAACGTCAAAGAAACCCATAGAAGCACAACCATAACACCTTTCTCCTATCATCTCAACCCAGCACATACCTGTCGTCACACCAGCGGTATGAAGAGATGTTGACACAGAAGGTGTCTCGGACTCTCCCCCAGTAGATAGGTAAGCATGTACCTACAGTGCACACCCCACGTGACAGACGGAGTATGAGGGCTCCACAGCAAACATGCTAGCTAGGTCCACAACACACAGCTCACCGACCACTGGCCCCTGATCAAGAGCACTTACTTCAATCATTCAAAGGGGCACAAAAGAAAGTGACAGCTCTGTAAATCGACCAAGTCGGACAGTAGGGGCTGATCTACAGAATCAACTTCTTCGTCTACATTGACTTGTGGAGAGAGTTTGGATTGACATCACAAAAAGAGTTAGTGAAGAGAGAGGAGAGTGTTCGGACACTGGTGTAAACAATGCTCCTCTGTGAGGTGTTGCCAACACCAACGTTATCAACCCCTATGGCCTTGTCTGACACTGACTGGGCACAGTAGGACGTTGAAGGCCTCCAGGGTTCATTCGTCAACAGTCCTAAGGTAATTACTTACAGAATTTAAAAACCAGCGGAACAAAATTGTTTTGAATTTTTAATATTTGTTTCACAGATATAGACAGGGATAATTCTAGGGTGGGGTCTTGTGCTTTTAGCCCCTAAATTTAAAAAAAGGCCTACATGTTCAAATACAATGGCGCATTTTAACATTGTGCTGTATGGGAAAGTGTGGGTATACCACTGGAATATTTGAAATTTTCACATAAAGGGCCAATTTCAGAAAATATCTTGAGTGAACCCTGTAGACATGATAATGATAGAATAGGAAACCAGTTAATAAAGATTGCTTCCTTCTTTGGGGTGGGGCTGCATGTAATGAAGATATTGATGTAATGGAATGTGTTGTGACATGATATATGTATCTTAATACAGTGTTTCTAACCCTGGTCATATGTAAGAATTGTTGTCAAGGCTGCCATATCATTATGGGATCCTTAAAAAATTAAATACTCCAGCAAAAGGTATGAGTCTATTGGTGAGACACGTGATATGTTTTATGATATGATCAGCCTGTTTTCTGATTAGTCCATGTTCTAGGACACTGACTCATTGTCATCCAAAATGCCCTTAAGATGGTTTACAAGTCTATTAATGATATAAAAGAATGACCAATCAAAAAGTGATAAATGATGAAAATGTCCATGAACATCACTGTATGATACATACAGAATTACTACAGAACCTGATGCTCGCTATTTTGTTCAGTCAACCTGGGTCTGCCATATTTATACACGCCAACATGCCCTCCTTATGAAAACAGGTATGATAGTGTACCGATGCATGACCTCAAAATATCATATTAGCGTCAAGAGACAATTTGAGCTTCAAGTCAAACAGTGGTTTATTGAGTGTGTGAACTCGGTCCTCTAAGTACATAGGGTTAACAACCAAATTTAACACAATGACTAGAGTTAACACAGTAACCAGAGCAACAAGGTTTAACACAGTAACCAGAGCAACAAGGGTTAACACAGTAACCAGAGCAACCAGATTAACACAGTAACCAGAACAACTAGAGTTAACATAGTAACCATAACAACCAGCATTAACATAATTACCAGGGCAACCAGATTTAACACAGTAACCAGAGCAACCAGAGTTAACATATTCACCAAAGAGAGTAACCAGAGTAACCAGTTAACACAGTATCTCCAAGCACTTTCATGATTCCTATCACTGCCATATAATGAGTGACTGAAACAGCTGCATTATCTAGATTTAATGATTCAAAGAACCCCTTAAGACAAATCCAGGGCCCTAAAAGAACCTTTCAGTCAACTTCAAGGTCCTTAAACAACCACTTCTGTCTACTCCAAAGCCCTTTACTCCAAGAATCTCTGAGGCTTTACTGCAAGAACCCAAGTTCATTCAACTTCAAACCCCATTTACTCCAAGAACCCCTGAGGTCACATTACTGCCAAAACCCCTTCAATCTACTCCAAAGCCATATACTCCAAGAACCCCCGAGGTCACATTACTGTAAGAACCCCTTCAATCTACTCCAAAGCCCTTTACTCCAAGAACCCCCGAGGTCACATTACTGTAAGAACCCTTTCAATCTACTCCAAAGCCCTTTACTCCAAGAACCCCCGAGGTTACATTACTGTAAGAACCCCTTCAATCTACTCCAAAGCCCTTTACTCCAAGAACCCCCGAGGTTACATTACTGTAAGAACCCCTTCAATCTACTCCAAAGCCCTTTACTCCAAGAACCCCCGAGGTTACATTACTGTAAGAACCCTTTCAATCTACTCCAAAGCCCTTTACTCCAAGAACCCCCGAGGTTACATTACTGTAAGAACCCCTTCAATCTACTCCAAAGCCCTTTACTCCAAGAACCCCCGAAGTTACATTACTGCAAGAACCCCTTCAATCTACTCCAAAGCCCTTTACTCCAAGAACCCCCGAGGTTACATTACTGTAAGAACCCCTTCAATCTACTCCAAAGCCATTTACTCCAAGAATATCTGAGGTTACATTACTGTAAGAACCCTTTCAATCTACTCCAAAGCCCTTTACTCCAAGAATCTCTGAGGTTACATTACTGTAAGAACCCCTTCAATCTACTCCAAAGTCCTTTACTCCAAGAATCTCTGAGGTCACATTACTGTAAGAACCCTTTCAATCTACTCCAAAGCCCTTTACTCCAAGAATATCTGAGGTTACATTACTGTAAGAACCCCTTCAATCTACTCCAAAGCCCTTTACTCCAAGAATCTCTGAGGTCACATTACTGTAAGAACCCTTTCAATCTACTCCAAAGCCCTTTACTCCAAGAATATCTGAGGTTACATTACTGTAAGAACCCCTTCAATCTACTCCAAAGCCCTTTACTCCAAGTATCTCTGAGGTCACATTACTGTAAGAACCCTTTCAATCTACTCCAAAGCCCTTTACTCCAAGAATCTCTGAGGTTACATTACTGTAAGAACCCCTTCAATCTACTCCAAAGCCCTTTACTCCAAGAATCTCTGAGGTGACATTACTGCAAAAAAAACTTCAATCTACTTCAAAGCCCTTTACTCCAAGAATCCCTGAGGTCACATTACTGCAAGAACCCAAGTTTATTCAACTTCAAACCTCATTTACTCCAAGAATCCCTGAGGTTTCATTACTTCAAGAACCCCATCAATCTACTCCAAAGCCCATTACTCCAAGAATTACTGAGGTCACATTACTGCAAGAACCCAAGTTTATTCAACTTCAAACCTCGGTTACTCCAAGAATCCCTGAGGTTAAATTACTTCATGAACCCAACTTTATTCAACTTCAAACCTCCTTTACTGCATGAACCCCTTCAGTCACACTTTTTTATTTAACCTCCTGGCTAAAAAAATTCCAACTGAGTAGCCAAACCTGCATGAACACCGACCTTACATGAAACAGTGCCCCCGCCTCAATCAAGTCATGTCCCAGGTACAAATCCCCTACGGCCGGTGTAAACTCCATAAGATATAAAGTCCCCCCAACCCCTGTCTACAGGTGTGTGTAACGTGATCCCCTTTTGTTCCACCTGAGTGACCACAGCCAGGTATCTGCACCAAAGGTCACAGATATACACCCTTACCTGGCCCATAAATGTCTCCATTCACCCCCGACACAGTCATACAATTGTGACAGGGGCCTGACAAACACCTTGTAGAGGTTGGATAATACCTCAGGTGAATGTACACAACCTTGACCTTTAAAAGACTTATTGCTAGACTTGATATAAGATATCAGGTACACCTCTAGCAATGAATGCAACAATTAAGGGGATCAAAAGGAACTTCATTTCAAATAAAACAAAACTATTATAAGCTACTAAAATTAAATTTTATTGTAAAGTGATAAATCTGCCATTAAATCTAACCCCATCTGGGAAATCAAACCTGGTCAGTTTTCAGCATGACAAGCTAATGCATTAACCATTAACCTACATCCAAAAAAACATGCAGGGAGCCTATGTTATTTGTCCAATGACAGTGGGATGTCAAGGGTTAATAATGACATATAATGTGTTGCTTGACAGGACTTTTATCATGTACAGCAAGCAATATTAAAACATTGCTGATAACTCTGAGCGGCTTAACTCCTATGGCTTGTTTACATTAACTAAATTAAGAGATATTGTGGGCAGTAATATTTATAATCATATCATTCAAATATGTGTCTGGACAGTATTAAGCTGCTAGGCAGTGAGAGTTTTTATTATATCATTTAAATTAAACCCACTGGGCAGTAAGTTATAACTATATCATTCAAATACGTTGCTGAGCTCCAAGAGTGATTGAGTGCGTGTTTGTTTGTTGATTTAACACCGCACTCAGCAATATCTCAGCTATATGACTGCAGTCTGTAAATAATCGAGTCTGGACCAGACAATCCAGTGATTTACATCATGAGCATCGATCAACGCAATTGGCATATGATGACATGCATCAACCAAGTCAGCGAGCCTGACCACCCGATCCCGTTAGTCGCCTCTTATCACTACCATAGTCGCCTTTTACAACAAGCATGGGTTCCTGAAGACCAATTCTACCCCGAATCTTCACAGGTCTGTGAGGGACCGAGTGAGCTGTGTTTAACCCTGCTTTTAACAGTATTCCAGTTATATCACAGCATGTCAGCTTAATGTGGGAGGAAAGTCCCAAGTGATGCAGGTCTTAGATGTTTACCACTTCGGTGAAACCCACAAGCACGTGAATGGTGCTGACAAACCTAGAAACATAATCGGGGCGAACCGGGATTCAAACCCACAATCAAAGGTTTCTGGCGTGCCCAAGGGAAGCAACTCTGCACAGCAAACCACAGCGCCTTAGACGACTGGGCCACCCGTGCTCCCCTAAGCTGTAAGAATGGGTTATGTACACCTATCATTCAAATAAATTGCTGGGCAGAAATAGTTATACTTATATCATTTAAATTAAAGATGATGGTCAGTAAGTCATAATTACATCATTCAAAAGATTTGCTGAGCAGTAATAGATATAAATTTGTCATTCAAACAAGTATCGGGGCAGTAATAGTTATAATTATATCAGTCAGGTAGTGCTGCTTTAAGGTGCTAATTAAATGTCAAATAAATATGGAGGCAAATTTCAGGACAAATTGACAGATCCATTTATTATTTAAACAGAAAACATAAATACAAAACTCTCCAAACTAGCCGATGAAATGAGCCCATATCACTGAGTGCACTTCTCTAGATGTGCTGAAGCAGAAATCTGAGTTTTTTTCCCAGTCTCCATTTCCCTGTGAATGAGCAGCTCCCCAGCTGTCACAGCCTGGAGTCAAGATAGGACAAAGATAGATATTGATACTTTCTTTATTCTCAGGAGATCAATGCATCTTGCACAGTACTGTCAATACCTTCATCTGCAGAGTGCTAGCATGGACATTTAAGCGGCAAAACATCTGATACACACTCAGAGAGAAATGCAAGCCACTCCTCCGCCTGACACTCATCCCTCTGCCGAATCAAATACAGTTAGTCATCGCCAGACCTCAGACGAACTAGTCACAACTAGTGGTGTAACTGACAACTGTCCAACTGTCCAAACCTCACATCCATAACCACATGGCAGGTACGGATACCCATTTGCACTTTGTCTTACAAATTTACTACAAACGAACATAAAAGAAAGTAGTCCTTTGGGCTCTCTGGGTTGAAGAATGGGTCCCCAGTACTTTCTGATTGTTGTAAACTTGCAATCGGGTGGTGAGGCTGCATGTCACTCTCCCACCCAGAGTTCCTTGCGGACAACCTAGTCCTTCTGCCACAGGCCAGCAACGTGTGAAGATTTGTCACAGTTTACACAATCCATTCCACAAATTGCATATGTTTTTTTATCGGTTTCATTTTGTAAAGTATACAAATTTAGATAAACGCATTTCAGGAAAAGTTAACATTAATTGAGAGAACATAAGACGTAAAAAGCTGTTTACATTTCCATATGTATCCCTTGTTTACAATGGTTGTACGCTCCATGTGCAGACATTGAAGCCCTACAGATAGCTGATGAAATGGTCACATTGGATGTGTAAAGATATATTGTCATGGTCCTCACTTGTTTGTTTGTTTGTTTGTTTGTTTGTTTGTTGTTTAACGCTAAAGACCCGGGTTCGATTCCCCACATTATTAATGTGTAAAGCCCATTTCTGGTGTCCTCCGCTATTGCTGGACTATTGCTGGACTATTGCTAAAAGCGTCGTAAAGTCCTACACATTCATTCGTCTTCTAATAATACAATAATGAGCGTATCCCACGCTAATGCAACACTCAGCAGACATGTTCCCAGAATTATTCAAGCAGTTGCACTGCTGTGCTGAGGTTAATTTTCAAAATAATAATGATTCTTAACAGAGCTAAAAGCCCAGATAGGATTGCCCTTTAGTTCAACATTCAATATCTTCACACAGAGTAATGATTGTCACATATGGGAAAAACAAAACGATAAACAATGCCTGGTGCATTGATTAAGCACACTGAAGCATGTAGCTTAAGAAATACAAGTACCTCTGTATGTAAACTGTCAAACCTTCTCTGGAACAATACTAGCATAGACGCATAGATTGAACACATAAACCTCTGCCTGCGACTAGAGTACCTACAGAGTTACTTCCCCTGATACACCACCAAATCTGCTGCACACATCCTGCCTGACCCAGTCAGGGTGACCAGTGCCTGTGTAGGAGGCAACATGGCAATAGGAAGTTATCTCATCATTTTATACATTGAAAAGGATCTTGAATAAATTTTTATAACAATCAGTCAGTATCCTGGAGTTTTACCAAACTGAAACCTTAGGTGACAGAGGTCTTGTGTTCATCTGCGTTGCCCAGCTCAACTATGGTGAACATATCACTAGACTGTACTTCCCTTTAAAATATAATGTCATCCAATTAAGGACATCATTAAGTTGCGAGTGAATGTCCAAATCTCTAGAAATGACGTCATGATAGAACACTGTCTCCTCGTAAAATAAACCATGCTCTATTCTTCACTGTTCTCTGCGATTTATCGTGTAGCTATCTTATATTACAAGTTTGAATGACAGTAATATTAACCCACTTGCAGTGTTAGAATCCGGCACTAGTCCTGTAGTCCTTACCAAACTGCCCAATAGTAAAGGTATCCTAAGGACTAGTAGAAATTTGCCATTTTTAGAGGTTTTGCTATATGTTATCATTATAAGGACTAGTGGGCTGAAACTGTTAGTTTCTAACCCTGTCTTGTCATGAATCATGACACAAAGATGATGGAAAGAAAGGATCTCATACTCATGATAATGTTTGTATCTAAATTAATCGTTACAAAATGATTTAATGTGTTGTCAGTTGTGAATGTGCAGGGTTCACTCTAGGTATTTTCTGACATGGGCCCTTTATGTGAAAATTTCAAATATTCCAGTATACCCACACTTGCCCATACAGCACAATATTAAAATGCCCCATTGTATTTGAAAATGTGGGTCTTTTTTTAAATTAAGGGGCTAAAAGCACAAGGCCCCACCCTAGAATTATCCCTGAATGTGTTATAACGATAACAGCACAATTGTGTCATTAGGTTGAAAGACTGCATAATACCAATAGGTACACAAAACAATGACATAATCCCTCATAATAATAATTATATTTCAGGGAATTTTTAAAAAATCTGATTTCTAAAGAGTGAGATCAACTGACAGGAACACAGGTTATAATTTCCCACTGTGTGCACTGAAAACAATTAGCAGGAGACTGGTCAGGTGATGTGAAATGGGTGATGATGAATCTTGAGATTTTACGTGCACCTTCCGACATGATGCGAATTTAATGAATACGTGAAATGGGGTACACGTCGCGTTTATACAGGGACGTGTGAGTGAGGAGGGAATGGGTGTGGGTGGCGGGATGTGTGGATGTTAAAGTGCTAACACACTGCGATACCATGCCTCAATTTTAAGATGAATACCCCACTCAGACACAGTTACTCCAAGCTGACAAGTCCTTGTTTTGAAATATCCCTTTTAACCTTTCCTCTCTCCGGGTAGACACTCTATCCACTAGACCATAGAGGCAGACCCATTACCAGGAGACAATGGGCTGATTGTGCCAGGTAACCAGTGATACCTGCATTAATAATTGACACAGCCCCCACCTGTAGACCTGGCCCCAGTCAACAGCAACCGATTCATGCTCAAACAAAGGAAGTGCAGTACCACTTAATGAAAACGATCTGAACAATTAGCTTGTCAAAAACACAAAAGAATTGTCTAAGGTTACCCTAAGCACACTAAATCCAGATTCAAACTCTTACTCATGGATTAACCAACACAATTACATTCCACAGATTCATAGAAACCTGTAATTCATTGAAGACACAAGTATGCATGTTTGAAATAGTCAAATACTGTTATACTGATTTTATTTTGATGGTACCAAGACATTACATTTTTATTACCCTTCCTTCACAAGAAAAGAAATTTAGTGTTCAAGACATAAATTTACTGAATTTGAAAATTATCAGTCTGTCCCAAACACTTTGGAGGCTATTGGTGAAAGCATAATTTTCTGTAGATTATTTTATTTTTAGACTATCATGAGCTGAGATGTGCATAACTGAACCGAACAGAATTTCACTAGACTTGTGCTTTGGACTTGTGGCTAAAGTCGCAGACTGTAATATATCTTTGATAAACTTTAATGCCCTCCCTAATTACAAAATCAATTTAACTGGAACACAACCTTTCTTACACATACATCTTGAAGCACTATCAGCAGAAAGACAGGTTTTTAAAGCACTTTCAATTGGAGTCGATAACGTAAGCAGACACTGGTATCTGGTTAAAGCCTGAAATAATCGATAGATCAATTATAGCAACAGCCAGTATGTTAGACTGAGCTCAGACAAAATAGTCTGGCTATATCCTGATACAAGTCGTTGACAGACAGTATATGTTCAACATTCCTGGATCACCGCGATACTGCTTTCTCAAACAGCACAACACATGATTGCAATAGGAATCGCAAAACATCTTTCCCAAACACAATCAAATCTGAAATCACAAATCATAGTTGATATCACAAGCTGTGACCAATTTATATGTTTGTCCGAAGTTGCCATTTTCTACAAGTGACAGTATCCCGTACTTGTGCATAGGCTGTAGATGGAGCCACGCTTGAAATAACACTGACATAACAAACCACTAGTCACGGTTGACGGGCACTGAAAAAAAACATAAATTCGTTCATGCATGACATGAACACTTAATTAAGGTCCACATAACAGGTGATGAGATGACAACAGGTCTGCTTCGCACCTTCACAACAACAGATTGTCAATAACACACCCTGTGACATAAAACCACTCACAAGGCAAACAGACATGACAAGGAACAGGCTATTATTATGACACCAACAATTACCTTTGTCCATAGTCATCTTAAATCACCACAATGTCCAAAATTAATCCAACAATTCTCAGTCCATTTTTCAAGAAGGTTAGTGACATAAATATCCCTGGCTGGTCCGCACATCAGTGTTGGCTGTGGCCTTGTGTGTAATCACAGGTAGCTGGCTGTCAATACCCGGCCGACTGGCCGCGACAATGGATTATACAGGCAGGCATGTTCGGACACAGCCAGTTCATGCACCCCCCAGTTCCTGTCTTTGGAGCATGCTCAGAGCGGAGATTACCTATATCACAAGATCACAGCCAGGGGTTCAGTGTTGAGGACAATTATTCAACAATTGGTGAGTAATTGTTCTAATTTTGGGAGATTCAACATGTTTCTGGGAGATTGTATGTCTTGTAGAAGGGAACCTGAATGGCATGTTGATCTGTGTGAGGGAACAAACTCCTCCGTTCACATGTCAATATTTACAATTTTTCACGTCCTGTATTTGAAGTAGAGAGACAGCTCTGTATTGTGTCTTAGCTGTGCAAGCTACCGTGGAATATCGGAAAGTAATTGACACAGTGAGAGGTGGGGACAAGCTACCATGGAATATCTCCCAGATAATGACTTGGTGACAAACTCAGGCATAAACTGAGACACTACTGAATCTGATTCTTTGTCACTGCGTGTCTGTAGCATCATCACATGCAGCAGTGGGTATTACAGCCCTTCTGTCACTGGCTTTGGATTAAGAAATGTTCTGATAATATTTCCCATCAGTGTGCAAAGAGCAATGTTTACTTGCCGCTGCACTACTCCGTAATTTCAAATACCGACACTGTCACTACTGAACAGAAAGGCTAACAACATAGCTAAGGTGTCAGGGTAGATGTGTTTCTTTCATATAATTTTTCTCAGTGTTAGGGCTCTCACTGTGTTCCACTTGTGTTACAAGAGCCTTGAACATGTTGAAAGCAGCATAGTGAGTGGGTATGGTTTTATGTCGCTGTTAGCAATAGTCCAGCAATATCACGGCGGGTGACACCGGAAAATGGATTTCACATATTTACCCATGTCAGGAATCAAACCCAGGTCTTTTGCGTGACGAGCCAAGACTTTAACAATGAGGCTAATGGATAATGTATTGTATTTGATTTTTGAAATTCTTAAATGAAAGCATCTCGTTCCCCTCTGCGGTCATATCAATCCCAATAGCCGTCTGCCAACACTACTACAATAATCTTCATGCGATTCTGGGAGATCTCAATATCCACGCAGACATCTGTCACAGAAGTATTTGTATTTTTATGACCTGTTTACACTTTTTATCCAAGAATAATAATACCCTCCATCTGTTTAAACTAGAAATAGATTGGTTCTCGGGCCATTACTGACGCCTACAGAAAGTCCAGCAATATCACTGAGGTGTCAGGGTAGATAGATGTTGACCAGCACAAGGAGTGGGTGAATGCTGTTGTAAGTAGCAGTTAGCAGTATTCCACCTATATCACATGACTAGGATATAACTGAGCCTTGCCAGGCAGTGGTTGATAACATGAGGAAGGCTCCACTCAGTCGATATCACACCTCGTCAGCACCCGACCCTCATTAATCAGCTCTCATTGGCATTGGGTACAGAGATTGCCCCAGGGTATGAGGTATGTCCACAAGCATGGAGTATGGAGGTTGCTTCGGAGTATGAATGGATATGTTCACAGGCATGGGGTACGGAGGTTCCCCCAGAGTATGAACGGATATGTTCACAGGCATGGGGTAGGGAGGTTCCCCAGGAGTATGAATGGATATGTTCACAGGCATGGGGTACGGAGGTTCTCCCGGAGTATGAACAGATATGTTCACAGGCATGGGGTACGGAGGTTCCCCCAGAGTATGAATGGATATGTTCACTGGCATGGGGTTGGGAGGTTCCCCGACGTATGAATGGATAAGTCGGCAAGCATGACACGGCACATAAAGCACAACTGCAAACATGGCTAAGGATTATGTTTCATGTTCATTAACCTAAATCATAAAATGAGGTCAATGCAAATATGTACTTCACCAAAGGCCACTTTATAATACTTGCCAAACATCCCGAGTTACATCGCTAATACCAGTTAATCCAATAAATAATCTGTACTTACAGGTTTGGCATGTGAAGCAATTCGTCCGGCAGCAGTATCTACTGCACACACATATCTTCATGTATGGCAATGTAGACACAGCCTGCAACTCTTAGTAATCATGGTAATAGCCTCTAGTCTGAAGCAAGAGTCTAGTACAATTCTGTTTGGATTAGTTATAAAGCTCAGCAAACAATATTAACATAATAACACTAAAATCTACTGCAAATGGAGAATAATTTCCAAAGTTATTGGCACAGGCAGTATAGAATATCAAGATGCCTAAAATATCATGGCTTTATCTGATTGATTATAGTCAAAGATTTCAGTTGTTTTGCTTTTTCCCTTTTAATGCAAATAAAGAAGAGAAACTACATAAACTTTTGATTGAACATAAGATCAGGATCATTTCTGTCTGATCACCTTAACTCACTCCTCACAACACATCTCATCTATTTTTGTGTGACAGCTCCAGATAAGCTTTTGGTGTTGTGGGTATTTTACCCATGCAATTTAAAATCATTGGATATCAGTAATTCTATCTGGGTATTCAATTTTCTGTTACCCACTAGTTTTTACACATGTGGGTATTTAAGTTAAATATTTAAAAACACTATTCATCTAGTCCCTGCAAACTGGTGTCGTGTGGGTTCGTGAGCTTTATAGGACTCAAAAATACCATGATACTTCCACAAGAAAGTGTGATGGCAAATGATCATGATGTAACTGTCATCGTGGACTTTGGCTCCACAAGAAAGTGTGATGGCAAATGATCATGATGTAACTGTCATCGTGGACTTTGACAAAGTTGACAGAATGTCCGTTTATAATTTCAAAATAAGTTGCTGATTTGCTAATCGAATACGCAAGGTTACTTCACAATATTTTGATGATACGCACAAGTTTCATTTTTGTAGCGAATCTGTAATGTTCGTTGCGTATTTGATACGCTTGGATTTTATTATACTGCGTATTTCTGCATTTTTTATGTGTATTTTATGCAGATACGCAGCTTATCTGGAGCTCTGGACACTGAGGTAACTTTAGCACAGGACATAAGGGCTAGATATGAGGTTTTGTTTTTATCTTCGTGTGACACTGAGGTAACTTTAGCACAGGACATTAGGGCTAGAAATGAGGTTTTGATTTTATCTTTGTGTGACACTGTGGTAACTTTAGCACAGGACATTAGGGCTAGAAATGAGGTTTTGATTTGATTTTTGTGTGACACTGTGGTAACTTTAGCACAGGACATCAGGGATAGAAATGAGGTTTTGATTTGATTTTTGTGTGACACTGTGGTAACTTTAGCACAGGACATCAGGGCTAGAAATGAGGTTTTGATTTTATCTTTGTGTGACACTCAGGTAACTTTAGCACAGGACATCAGGGATAGAAATGAGGTTTTGATTCTATCTTTGTGTGACACTGTGGTAACTTTAGCACAGGACATTAGGGCTAGATATGAGGTTTTGATTTTATCTTTGTGTGACACTGAGGTAACTTTAGCACAGGACATTAGGGTTAGATGTGAGGTTTTGATTCTATCTTTGTGTGACACTGAGGTAACTTTAGCACAGGACATTAGGGCTAGATATGAGGTTTTGATTCTATCTTTGTGTGACACTGAGGTAACTTTAGCACAGGACATTAGGGCTAGAAATGAGGTTTTGATTTTATCAATCAATCCAACAACATAACAATTGCCTGGTATAAGATGATAGCTTTAGACACAGCCACTAGTCCACTTGTCTACGACTTGACTGGGGAAAATAGCTAGGACCAGTTATTTCATAAGGACAACTTGTTTATAATGATTTGTTAACCAGCTGGTGCCCTCACAAGCACTGAAGCATTAGAAACATGCCTGTTATGATCAATGCTTACAATTGTTATATTTCCTGCACAAACAAAGTATCTATGGCAACTACACACTAATGAAAGCCTCCTTCACTTAGCTCCACAGTTTTAAACTGTTTACCTATGGGATAAACCAACAAAGGCTAATCTCCCAGCCACCATGGCATACACGATTAGCATCCTAACATGTCATGACCTTATTCAACACAGCCTGCTCCCAGCCTCGTTCCACACAGCCTCAGCTCCCAAACCTTATTCCTCACAGCCTCATGTCATGACCTTATTCTCACAGCCACATGTTCCAATCTTATTCCTCACAGCCTACAGTCCAAACCTTACTCCACAAAGCCTGCTCCCGACCATATTCCTCACAGCCTCATGTCCCGACCTTATTCCTCACAGCCCGCTCAGATCTTATTCCACACAGCCTCAGCTCCCAAACCTTATTCCTCACAGCCTCATGTCATGACCTTATTCTCACTGCTTCATGTTCCAATCTTATTCCTCACAGTCTCAAGTCCAAACCTTAGTCCACAAAGCCTGCTCCCGACCATATTCCTCACAGCCTCATGTCCCGACCTTATTCCTCACAGCCTGCTCAGATCTTATTCCACACAGCCTGCTCCAGACCTTATTCCACACAGCCTGCTCCCGACCTTATTCCTCACAGCCTGCTCCAGACCTTATTCCACAAAAGCCTCATGTCATGACCTTATTCTCACTGCCTCATGTCCCAATCTTATTCCTCACAGCCTCATGTCCCGACCTTATTCCACACAGCCTGCTCCCAACCTTATTCCACACAGCCTCATGTCCCAATCTTATTCCTCACAGCCTCATGTCCCGACCTTATTCCATACAGCCTGCTCCCAACCTTATTCCTCACAGCCTCATGTCCCAATCTTATTCCTCACAGCCTCATGTCCCCACCTTATTCCACAAAGCCTGCTCCCAACCTTATTCCTCACAGCCTCATGTCATGACCTTATTCTCACAGCCTCATGTCCGGACCTTATTCCTCACAGCCTCATGTCATGACCTTATTCTCACAGCCTCATGTCATGACCTTATTCTCACAGCCTCATGTCCAGACCTTATTCCTCACAGCCTCATGTTATGACTTTATTCTCACAGCCTCATGTCATGACCTTATTCTCACAGCCTCATGTCCCGACCTTATTCCTCACAGCCTCATGTCATGACCTTATTCCTCACAGCCTCATGTTATGACTTTATTCTCACAGCCTCATGTCATGACCTTATTCTCACAGCCTCATGTCCCGACCTTATTCCTCACAGCCTCATGTTATGACTTTATTCAACACAGCCTGCTTGTGTCCTTATTCCACACAGCCTGCTTGTGACCTTATTC